GCTTTATATATTTTCAGCATTATCTCTACCCTATGGCACACTCCTCAATTAACAGCACCACCTGTCACAGAAGTGGTTCAGTCTTCTTAGTGGTGTTTCATCGTGTCCAATGTCCACTCCAAAGATATTGACTGGGGCGGGTGGAGGGGGGTTGTTTTACAGCACTAGCATCACTACCTTGTGAATCCATGAATAATGTTGTTATTGAGGGTGGGAGCGGGAATGAGGGGGTCAATGGGAAAAAGGGGGGGACATCTGTAATACTTTCAACAATAAAAAATAAAAATTAAAAATGTTGTTATATCTCTTTAAAGTGGTTTGAAATGACTGTGAATGGGAAAATAACAGCTGAATAGTCGCAAAAAGCAATTGTGAGAGTCCAAAGCATGCTAACAACAGTGTGATTTGCTCCATAATGATGCAGTATGGTAATTTGTTTACCCGGCTACAGTGGCACCACCTTGTGGCAGTAGAATAAACACAGTGTATAATTCATTCCGTCCCTAAGCTTTGAAATTGTTTCATACCTAATGAGTTAAAATGTTTCCTTTCTCTGATGTTTGTATGATTTCTAATTTATACATGAAGCAGCACTTTGTTAATGGCTTTATGTGGCATTGTGTCAAAGTCACATAATTCGTATCTGCATATGATGTATACCACAGAAAGACTGGGACTTAGCAGTGTGGCTCATGCCCCAGCCGAGACAGAAAAGCTGTCTTGTCCCTGTCACTCCTGTTTGGGGTCCCATAGGAGCTGGGCAATGCAATTCTGAGAGCAGCTGGGCCCAAGCATAAAAGCCCATCAATAAGGAGTGGGTGACACTGCCACAGCTGGGTAATTTGTCTCTTTGCTATTCTGCAGCCCATTCAGTGATGATCTATTTGTCCTAGAGAATAGATAATGGCAGGTTCGTCCATATTTTACACTTATGAACCTGCCTGCTCCCCTCCACCCAGTGCTGCCCATTTATCTTTGTCCTTGGCTCCTCTCGTTTCATTTCACAAATTGGGCAAAAGGCCTTGGCAATGAATTATGAAGGCAGATTCCATGAGGGCAGCTTTGGGAAGGAAGAGAGGGAGAAGAGATGGGTCAGCCCTCTGCAGAGAGGGGAGGGATGGACAGGTGCAGGAGAAAGAGATGTCACAGACTCAGTGGTGGACAGGAAGGAACCTCAGAGAGAAAGGGGAGGGAAAAATCCTAGGACAGAAAACAATAGTGCTGGGGAGGCCTGCTCATAGGAAACTACTTGAAGAGCTGAGTTCAATCCTAATAATTAAGTTGGGCCTAGTGCAAAGCCTAATTGTGGTATCCAGCCTCCAGGATGACCCCTGTGATCTTGAGTGTTAGTATTCACACCTTTGTAAAGCCCCCCCCCCCCCCACACACACACACTGAGCAGGGCTGACACATATAACCAGTGGGATATGCAGAAATGACAGAGTGTGACTTCCAAGACCAGGTTATATAAGTTCTTGAAGTTTCCACTTTAGTCTCTCTTGGATAACTTGCTTTGGGGGGAGCCAACTGCTATGTGGTGAAGACCCCCACACAGTGCCTAGAGAAGCCCATGTGGCAAGGAAATGAGGCCCCTGGCCAACATCTAGCACTCACTTGCCAGGTGTGTGAGCACCCACTTTGGAAGTCGATCCTACAGCTCCAGTGAAGCCTTCACAGCCCAAGCTGACATCTTGACTGTGACACTGCAGGAAACTCAGTGCCAGAATCAGCCCAGCTAACCAATCACTCCTGAATTCCTGACCCATTTGGAACCATGTGAGATAATAAATGTTTATTGTTTCAAGCTGCTAAAATTTGGGGTAATTTGTTCCACAGTAATTGTAAATGGCCTGATTCCTTATTTGTAGAATTGTTCAACATTTCTCTGCTTTGCTGCCCAGAATGCATGGTCCATGGGGCAGGAACCCATTCAAACCAGCTGCTCAGTTAACTGGCATTGCACATCACCAAGAACCACGAACAGAGCCCCCTTTCGAGCAGGGTAAATGGAGTTAGTTCAGCAAAGAAAAGATTCTGGGATGGAGTGAGTGTGTGTCCTGGAGAGAGGGAGAGGGCCACAATTAGGATGACCAAACCTCCCGGTTTCCCCGGGACAGAGGGGTTTCCTGGGATGGGGGACTTTCAGCAATAAAATTAAGGCAGTTCAGTAAACTGGGATGAGTTGATCATTCTAGCTGGGGTGGGGATGGAATTCTCAAAGCTGCATAACAAGTGAGCTACCACCCGGCCAGTGTGGCTTGGAGACTGAGTATCGTCCCATGAACTGAGAAGTGCCATTTCGATTCCCAGTCAGGGCACATGCCCAGGTTGTGGGCTTGATCCCCAGTAGGGGGCATGCAAGAGGCAGCTGATAGATGTCTCTCTCACATCAATGTTTCTATCTCTCCCTCCCTTCCTATCTCTCTCAAAATATCAATAAAAACATATTTTTTTTAAAAAAATGTGAGCTGCCACACTGTGGTTCATGTGGCATGGGGAGGGACACCCATTTCCCATCGCTCTGGATCAGGGGTGGGAGCATGCTCCTGGAGCCACTTCATTTGATCCTCCTGCCCCACTTGACTGGTGAGAGATGGGAAAACCCTCTTTGGAAATGCCTAGACCAGTGTGAGAAGGCTGCAGATCAGATCAGCCCTCCCTCCTTCTCCCCAGCAGAGGCAGCCAGAAACACCAAGAATTTGGTGAGGACTCTCAGTCTAGACCAGGAGGACCATTGTCTCCCTGTCCAAGGGTCTTGGCTTCCTGTGGCTTCATTGCCAGAGGACCTCTATCATATGGTCAATGAGTTGCTATGCAGCCTCTGTTGGCATATCCAGTGACAGGTCATCAAGATTGCCCACACCATTGTTAGAAAAGTATTCCTTGTACTGAGTGAGAAGCTGCCTCCACATAATCTCCACCCTTTAATTATATTGGATCGTGTTGAACAATTTGGACCCATTTCTTCCTGGCAACCCTTTCACATACTGTACACACACTGCTTCCTCTGCTTAAGGTTCTCCTTGCTTTGATCCCTGCTCCTGGCAAACTCTCCCTATTCATCCTTTAAAGCTTAGGTCCAAAGTCAGGTGAGATGAGGGAGGTGGTCACTTCCACCCCTCCATGCCTGCCACATTCAGATCCTAAGGGAGGGACAGCTCCACCACATGATACCAGTGACACCTTATTTGCTGCACATCCATGTACTCATCTGGGCTTTTCCTGAAGTGGCTGTGACTGGGAACCCTCCAATCACCCTGACTGAATGAGAAGCTTATTCCCTTTTGGTCCCTCTGATAACCCTAAGGAGCGACCAGGCCCAGCTTTGTCTCTAACCCTTCTCCATGCTCTTCTTTGTTAACACAGAGAGCAGACCTCAGGCTCACAGCCTTCTGCCTGAGTTACAAGGCAGCAGCCACACTGTTGTTTTCATTGCTAATTTGATGGTTCTACCTGTTTATGGCAATCTATTCAGGTTTTCCATTTATCATAATGATATACAGTTTCCTTTTTTTAATAAATCACACATATAATACATGTTAATTGTAGCAACTTTAGAAAACACAGGAAGAAAGTCATAGTATAAGCCTTCCTTCCTTCCTTCCTTCCTTCCTTCCTTCCTTCCTTCCTTCCTTCCCTAACCTGAGGACACCCTTTGCATTTATCTTCAGATGGAGCGGGAGGAAGAGAGGGTGGAAGAGAGAGAGAGAAACATCAATGTGAGAGAGACACATCGCCACCCACACGACCCCAACAAGGGCTGGGGACAAACTGCAACCGAGGTACATGCCCTTAGTGGGAAATGAACCTGGGACTCTCCGGTCCGCGGGGCGATGCTGTAACCGCTGAGCCAAACCGGCCAGGGCGAGCCTCACTTTCTTATAGAAGTCATCACTGACCCTCAAAGTCTATATAGGACCTCCTTTTTTCTCTTCATCCGCATTATAAGTCCTCATAGCTCCCCATACTTCACAACCTCTATTGCAATTGGCAAAAATATTTTTTGTTACATTCTTCACTTATTCAATAAATATTTCAGGTGCCAGGCAGGAGCAGTGAAGGGAGAAAGGCCTAAGGTGCCTACCTGCTCTGGAGGGGCTCAAAGTCAGTGCCAATTGGATTTTGTCTCCCCTACCACCCTTAAGTCCCCAAAAGGCTGGGAGCTTATTGTTCTGCCTACCTTTGGTGTCTCAGAGCTTAGCACATTCACTAGCCAGGCAGATTCAATATTTGCTAAAGGAATAAAAATTAGAGCCTGCCCTACATTCCCCAACTGCAAGCATACCAGGATAGAGCCACCTGTCGGTGGTGGCCATTTTTCTAGCGTGTGTGCATGCATGTTTCTATGTCCCTTTGGAAGCCATTAGGTCCCTGGGCCCCCAGGTGGGGTCTACAGGCTCTCTGCCTCTGCTGAGGTCTGTGATCTGGGGGATTGTGGCTGAGCAGGAATTAGTTTGTAAAGCAGACAAAAGAACTGGACAGGGCAGGAAGAGTGTAGAGGACCCCAGGAGGCCCAGGCAGAAATGGTAAATGGGGATGGGAAGAGGAAAGGAGATGATGGAGAGAGAGCGTCCCTGCGGCCCAGAGTCTTGTGCATCAGTCAACTGTTAGGGGCTTTGTTTCTTTGACAGTGGGATAAACACTGCCTGTGGTTCCTCTCATCCCCAGAAAAACGTACACTTTCACGGGGCTTACTCTGGTTCTCATCCTTCACTGCCCAGTTAAGAACCCCTGATATCATTGTTCAGCGCTCCCATTTTACTGAAATGGACACTGAGGCCCAGAATGGGCAAAGGGCTTTCTTAAGGTCACAGAGTAAGTCAGTAGCAGTGGTCCACAGCTCAGAGGAAAAGAACCTCGACTTCCTTCCACCCAGCCTCTGTGGAATTGGGGGATGCATGGTGGCAACGCCCACCTGGCCGAGCGCTGAAGAAGGCGGGCTAGCCGAAGGGGGCGGGACTTACTCACGCTCCTCCGCGGCGGGGTTCGGGGGCGGGGCCTTCCTCCAACCTGCTTCTCTCCAACATGGCTCCGCGGCTGTGCAGCATCTCTGCAGCGGCGCGGCTGCTGCTGGGGGGCCCTCGGCCCAGCAACGCGGACGTTGCGGCTGCGTCTGCGGCGCGGTGAGAGCCCGGCGGGGTAGGGGCGGCGTGCACGGGAAGGTGTAGGGGCGGGGGCCAGGGTCTGGGCTTGGAGATGGGCAGAGACCCCGTCTTGGAATCTCTGGGTTAGAGGTGGGGGCAAAATCTAGGCCAGGAGTAGAGCCCTGCGCAAGAATGAGGAAGGTGGTATGTGCAGGGTCTTTGTCCTAGTGGGTGCCTGATTCGTGGCAGAGAATGAAAGATTGGGTGAATGGGAGGGGCAGGTCCTGGGCCCTGGAGCAGGAAGAGGGCCTTTTCCTCAGGCCTTTGCGGTGATCGTGAGATAGCATCCACTGAGGGCTTCTAGGAGAGGCAGCTTCCCCCTCTGGAAGTTCTCTGGGATAGACATAAGGAGAACAATGAAGGATTCCCAAGAGCCACTGCTGCCCAGACCTTGAACAGTACAGGTGGGCACAGGAGGCTTGAGAATGGATGGGAATTGCCCAAGGTCACTCCCCCTGCCGTTCAGTGGCAGCACTGGGTCTGGACCCTGGTCTCCTGACACCCAGTGCTCTTTGCACCACAACTGGTGGCCTCCTGGGAAAGGAAGGCTGCTGGACCATGCCCTCAGCTGGGCTTTTGTTTGGGCCCTGCTCTGGGCCAGGGTTTGGCCTCCCTGATTGGTCCTGGGCTGCCCCTCCCTCTTGCTCCAGCTCCCTGTACTTCCCCCATCTCTGCACTTACCACCCTGTATATACTTGCCTGTCTCCCCTACTAGACTGGCACCTCGTTTTTCTGTTTTCCCAGCCCCTGGCACAGGGTTCAGGACAGTGTATGCTCAAGAACATTTGGTAAGAAATAAACACACTTGTCCCCTGCTGTGGAAAGGAGGTAGGGGTCCTTCCTGCCCAACTGCCCAGCTGTGAAGCTGCAGTTTTTTAGACCTCTCCATGTGCCATTAGATATTAGAGTGCTGTGCAGTGGGTTTTGGGGCAGCTGGGAAAGAGGAGCCAGCATGTACCCCCACCTGACTGCCCAATATCTGGGGAGAAAGCTGATATGGAGAGAGCCTAGAGTTTGCCTGCCATTAGCAAATCTAACTTCAGCCTTTCTTGGTGGGTTGACCTTGGGCAAGTCATTTGACCTCTTGAAGTGTCAGATTCCTAATCTTTAAAATGGGAGTGATAAAATAGTATGTAGCTCATAGAGTTGTTGAGGATTGAAAAGGCCATGATATGAGACTGATGGTCCCTGGTGAAACACAACAGATATTGCTTCTTGCTCAAGCCTATATCTCAAGCAATTTCTGTATGACCCCTCATAATATTAGGGCAGAAAGGGCCTTGGGGAGATCATCTTCTATGAGCCCCTTATTTTCTAGATGAAGAGATAAAGACTGGGGAAAGGACCTCAATTTCCTAAGGTTACAGAATCAGTTGGTGGTAGAAGCCATTTGTAGGGCAAATATCCAGAGGCCACCTGCTGCTCCTCAGTTGCTCAGTGACCTTGGATGAGAGGCACTGAACCTTTGTGAACCTCGGTTTTCTTCTCTGTAAAGTGGGGATGGTGATCCCTGCTAGGTGTATTTTGCAGGATTGCTGTGAATACACATGGATGACTACTTACCAGGTCCCTCGGTTACTTACTCCCTGGTCCCACCTTTGATACTAGCAAATATCCCCACTCACCCCCACTCACCCTCACTCAGTCTACTCCACCTCTCTGAAGTCACTGGAGGGACAGCAGCAGCCCTTTTGGCCTCTCAGGTTTGTGGGCTTTGAAAACAGATCGACCAGGATTGGAAGCCTCTTGGTCATTGATTAACGGTCCTTGAATAAGGCATGCAGCATCTTCAAGTCTCATTTTTCTCAAAAACATATTGTGAGTATTAGCTTTTAGCACATAGTAGGTGTTCAGTAAACAATAGTTATCGTTATCACTGCACCAGTAATCCGGTTAACAGATCTTTAGTGCTAGTTCTTCTAATGTGTCTTCTAGGGACATGCTTCTGGAACATTAAGCAGAAATGTGGCCCTCTCTAAAGTCAGCTAACTTAAAACAAGAATGTTTCAGAATGTGCATAGACCCCAGCTTCCTAGCAAATAAATAAAACATTCTGGAGCAGTTTCATGGGCAAAGGCTAGTAATAACTAGTAAGAGTGTAAATGTGTCATCTACTGAAAAGTTCTCATCTGGGACAAATATTGAGCAATTCTGACGCTAAAAGCTATAGGTATCCTAGGGGATAGGAGGATATTGGCTAGTGTCTTCCAGTGTGTTTGGGGAGACAAGACATATTCATATGAAAATGATGAAAGGGCTGAGGGGGAAATATGAGAGGTGTTTTTGTGGAAGGGCTGAACTGGTCCAGCTGGGGCAGATCCTTCCCGCAGATTGAACAAAGCTATATTGTGTTTTCCTAGGTCTAAGAGGCATTTTTATTTTTATTTTTATCCTCACCTGAGGACATTTTCCCATTTATTTGTTCAGATAGAGTGGGAGGGAAAGAGAGGAAGAGAGAGAAACATCGATGTGAAAGGGACACATCAAGTGGTTGCCTCCCATAAGACCCAACCAGGGCCAGGGACAAACTGCAACCGAGGTATGTGCCCTTAGCAGGAATCGAACCCGGGTCTCTCTGGACCACAGGCCAACGCTCTAACCGCAGAGCCAAACTAGCCAGGGACTAAGAGGCATTCTTAATAGAGTTTTGATAACAGAATCTTTGGCATTTCTGGGATGGTTTAATGAGACTACATAAAAAAGTTTTTTATTAATTAAAAAAACTTTTATTAATTTTTTTTTTGTTACAGATGTCTCCCCCCCCAGACACCCTCCTCCCCATCTCAAAAAAGTTTTCTTGCTTTCCACCTTTCACCATTTTCTTTTTATTTTATTTTTTTTATCCTCACCCGAGGATTTTTTCCATTTTTTGTACAGATAGAGTGGGAGGGAGAGAGAGAGAGAAACATCGACGTGAAGGGACACATCGAGTGGCTGCCACCCGCACGACCAACCAGGGCCGGGGACAAACTGCAACCGAAGTACGTGCCCTTAGCGGGAACCGAACCCGGGTCTCTCCGGACCGCAGGCCGACGCTCTAACCACTGAGCCAAACTGGCCAGGGCCCTTTCACCATTTTCTTGCAGCTCTGTCTGAGTTCCCTGATTACTCCTTTTATTCCCCAAACACGGACTAAGCATGTGCCATGTGCCCAGCTTGTTCCAGGCATGGGCAAGACAGCAGGGCTACATAGGACAGACAGCATCCCTGTTCTCATGGGGCTACTTCTAGCGAGGAGGCAATAAACAAGTCACATAATCAAACAAACAGAAGGTATATTAGAAAAAATAGAAAGGTTAGAGAGCTCAAGGGGAGTTCAAGGATAAGAAAATGTGATTTCACTGAGAAAATGAAATTAGAAATGCAAGTCTGAGAATGCTGGATTCCAGTTCAGATCCTGCCCTAAGATCTTGGACAGGTCCCTTCTTGGGTTTTACCTTTAGAAAAGATCTTTCCAGATAGGCTGTTCCACCCTGCTCCTTTGACACATGGGGAAACTGAAGCCCATAGACAGGAAAGATTAGAGAGTGATGGGAAGACATGGGAGCCCATGAGTTCCTGGAGCTCTCTTCCGCTTCCCAGCACTCCAGATGCGAAGCTCTTTCTCCAGGGCTGGCCACTTGGCTGTTTATCTTGGTCAGTACTGGTGTTAATAAATTACTTGGAGTCCAGTTCTGGAGCAAAGGTCTTGGTTGACAAATTGGAGGAGCTGATATTCTCCCTTCCTCCACCCCTTCCAGAAGAAGCATCCACTCTGGCAGTGGCTTTGTTGAAATTCACCTGTGCTCTGCAGGTCAGTGCCTGACCCAAGGTGGGGGCTGGCTTTAACAGAAAGAGCTCTGGGTTGGTCCTTGCCTGAGATTTGCCCCTGACTTGCTATTTGACCTCAGGCAAGTTCCTTAAACTCCTTGCCCTTCTATTTTCCCGTCTCGAAAATGGGGACACTGATAGTATCCACACTGAAACATCAATACACAGTTCAGTGGTATCATGCTACTGAAAAGTCAATCACAGATCCCTGGCACAGAGGATGTCATCAGCAAATGTTATCTATAGTGAGACTCCCTTATTCTGATCAATAATTTTCATAGACCACACCACCCATCTGGTGATAATTGTATTTTTGGTTTTTTTATATGCACGATAACAGAAGGCCTATGAATTCAGAAACACTTAAAACAATATTTTTTAGCTTTACAAATTATAATGAATAAAAAACTTGAACCATCTCCCTCACCCCTCTCCCAGGTAAGCAATATTAACAGTTTGGGATGAATTCTTTTTTTTTTTTTTCTTCCAATTTTTTTTTTGTGTGGTACATGCCCCTAGTGGGAACCGAACCTGGGACTCTCTGGTCCACAGGCCAACACTCAACCACTGAGCCAAACTGGCCAGGGCCCTTCCAATTTTTATTAATTTATTTTTGTTACAGATGCCTCCCCCTCCCCCAGACACCCTTCTCCCCATCTCGCCACCCCCCCAATTGTTGTCTATGTCCATTGGTTATGCATACATGCATATAAGTTCTTTGTTTCATCTCATCCATCCCCCTCACCCCCTCCTCTGAGGTTTGACAGTCTGAACCATACTCCTTTCTATGTCTCTGGGTCTATTTCGTTCATCAGCCCACCTTGTTCATTATATTCCACAAATAAGTGAGATCATGTGATACTTGCCTTTCTCTGATTGGCTTATTTCACTTAGCATAAAACTCTCCAGGTCCCTCCATGTCATCTCAGAGGGTAAGAGATCTTTCTTTCCTACAGCTGCATAGTATTCCATTGTGTACATGTACCACAGCTTTTTAATCCACTAATCTATTGATGGACACTTGGGCCATTTCCAGATCTTAGCAATTGTAAATAGTGCTGCTATGAACATAGAGGTACATAAAGTCTTTCTGATGGGTGTTTCAGGCTTCTTAGGATATATTTTTAGAAGTGGGATCACTGGGTCAAATGGCAGATCAAGTTTTAATTATTTGAAGAAACACCATACTGTTTTTCATAGTGGCTGCACCAGTCTGCATTCCCACCAGCAGTATACTAGAGTCCCCTTTTCTCCACACCCTCACTTTGTGTGATGATCTGTTGATAGCAGCCATTCTGGCAGGTGTGAGGTGATACTCATAGTTGTTTTAATTTGCATCTCTCTGATGACTAGTGACATTATGCATTTTTTTCATATGTCCCTTGGCCATTTGTATGTCCTTTTTGGAGAGCTATTGGGATATATTCTTACTCACTTTTCTCTGTGCTCGTTCAACTAGATCACTTTTTTGTTTTTTTTTTAAATCCTCACCCGAGGACATTTTTTCATTTTTTGTTCAGATAGAGTGGGAGGGAGGGAGAGGAAGGGAGAGAGAGAAACATCGACATGAAAGGGACACATCGAGTGGTTGCCACCTGCATGACCCAATCAGGGCCAAGGACAAACTGCAACCGAGGTATGTGCCCTTAGCGGGAACCAAACCTGAGTCTCTCTGAACTGCAGGCTGATGCTCTAACCACTGCACAACTGGCCAGGACTGGATCACTATTTTAAGATACTTTTTAAAAAAAAATTCTCACCCAAGGATATGTTTTTTAATTGAATTTTAGAGAGAGAGGAAGGGGGAGGGAGAGAGAGAGAGGAAAAAAACACATCAATATGAGAGAGAAACATTGATCTGCTTGCCTCATATAACATGCCCCAACCAGGGATTGAACATGTAACATATGTATGTGGCCTGACTGGAAATCAAACCTGCAACCTTTCAGTGTGCAGGATGACACTCTAACCAATGGAGCCACTCAGCCAGGGCTTAAGATGGTTTAAAAATTTTTTTTTTCTTTACAGATTTTAGAGAGAGAGGAAGGGAGAGGGAGAGAGAGAGATAGAAATATTCATGAGATAGAAACATCGATTGGCCACCTCCTACATGCCCTGCACTGGGGATTTAGCCTACAACCTGGGCATATGCCCTGAGTGGGAATCGAACTGGCGACTTCTTGTTGCATTGGTCAATGCTCAACCACCAGGCCAAGATGCTGTTTAAATTTCATCTGTCCCAGTGGTTGCTCCATATTTTTGAGGGAAAAAATGTAATATTTTGAATTCACAAGACATTTATTCTAGCCACAGACAAGGCTTGAAAAAGGGGAGGACTTGCTAACATGGCCTCCACTGCCAGAAGTCATCCAGCGGGAGACTTGCTTTTCAGGCCTGGCTAGAAGCTGCGAGGACTTTGTGTGGGGAATGCAGTTATGGTCCCTCTGCTCTGAACAAGGCACATCATTCATTCATTCATTCATTCTCACAGCACCCTAGCGAGGTACACAAGGCAGATATTTGTCAATTAAGTGTTGGCTGCATGAATGAATGAATCTTGCCTTGCAGTGCTTTTTACTCCCTCAATCTAACAAATCAGCCATGGAGATTTGGAGACTGGCCAGATCATCTCCTCTGGAGAGACTGCCCAGATTGCCAGAGGCTAAATTCAGGCTCACTCACCTGGGCTCTCCCAGAGACTTCCAGCTGTAATTGTGTCCCAAAGCTCATTTCTTCCAGCGGCTGTGACCTCCTCAGAGACAAAGCTTATTTGTCTTTGGCTGTCCATTTGTGGGGACTGGGAAGGGGCACAGGCCAAGTGTAGTGTGAGCACTGGGAAGGGCAGTGACTGCAGCATTCTTGTCAGAGGGGACAGAACTTGCAAAGAAAGCACAGAGTAAAAGAGCCTGGTGTGTTTAGGGAGGAGCATACCTGGAGAGCCGGGTACACACTTGTGGGGAGGCTGACAATATAGGTTTGACTGTCAAGGACCTTGGACTTCCAGTAGGTGGGTTTGGGTTTGTCTGCCTCTTGGAAAGGGGCTGCAGTTGTGTGCCTAAGTGGAGAACCCCTTGGAAGGGGGTGAAGTGGAGGCAGGGCGGCTGGAGAGAGAGAGATGGGAGGTGGGGCTGCCTCTCTTGGCCTCCTGAGGCTCTTCAATGATTCAGGAAGCAAACTGGGCAGCCAGGATCTCTGTAGAAGGGACCAGGTCTGCTCAGCTGTCTCCAGTGACGTTACATTCTGGAGCTGCCATGGGATTCCATGGCCCTCTTCCCAGAAATGTGGGTCCAGCCTAGGGGAGTGGGTTGTCTGAGCATATGGAAGGGCTGAGGCTCCCCATATCTCTGCATATCCTTCTGAATTCCTTTGTCCTGCAGCTTCTATTCCAAGGACAATGAAGGCAGCTGGTTTCGCTCGCTATTTGTGCACAAGGTAGATCCTCGGAAGGACGCCCATTCTACCTTGCTGTCCAAGAAGGAGACCAGCAGCCTGTACAAAATCCAGTGTGAGTGGCTGCTGCACCCACCAGCCCATTGTCCCAGGGCCCCAAAGGCTTCGGCTGGGAGATGAGAGGGGCTGGGATATCCTGAGCTGTCCTGGGAGCCTTGGCCCTGTTGGGCTCCCCGCACCCTAGCTCCCCGCAGACACACACCCACCCTGCTTCACCTCCCACTCTCTATCCTCTATTGCAGTTCACAATGTGAAGCCCGAGTATCTGGATGCCTACAACAGCCTGACGTGAGCATCTTCCTCCATCCACCTGTTCAGTGCCTATTTGGGTGGGGACAGTATCCCAGCCCCATTCTCCTTACAGAAATCCAGGGACATAATTTTCAGAGCCAGGAGTCCTAAGGATGTCTTGTCCAGCATCTGCATCTTAGAGATGGGGAGACTGATACCCAGCCCTGAGGGCCTGAGTGGAAACACTTATCTCAGGGGCCCTGGCAGCTGGTATAAGCCCTCTCCCATCTCTATGCCCCTCCCACAGGGAGGCTGTGTTGCCCAAGCTGCACCTGGATGAGGACTACCCCTGCTCGCTCGTGGGCAACTGGAACACATGGTATGGGGAGCAGGACCAGGCAGGTGAGGTGCCCACCTCTCCAGTGCCACTGCCGCCCACCCCAGGCCCCTGGTACCTCTTACACCTGGCTGCCCTCCACTCCCTCTCCACAGCAGCATACAGAGGGTTCTTTCTAAATGCAATCCTCATCGGCTCACTCCCCAGCTCAAACACCTGTGGTGGCTCCCTTCTGCCCTTGGGGGGCCCATGAGGCTCTGCGAGTCCTTTCCTGCCCAGCTTCTGGCCTTGTCTCTGGACATATTCTTTGCTTACTGTGCTGTCCTACCTGCGACAGTTTCGCCCTCTTGTTCCACACTGTTGTTCCTGATGTTTCCTCTGCCTGAAGCAGTCTTTCTCCCTTGCCCACTTTCCTTGGCTTATTCCTGTACTTATCTCTTATTTCGGCATAGACATCATTCCCTGATTCCTTCTGCCCAAGCTGGGTGAGGTATCTCTCCTGGTTCCCCAGCCTCCAGGATTTGCCTCTTCACAGCCCTGATCATGTACCCTGTAGTGTACTTGTTTGTCTCCCCATGTAGGTGGTGAGTCCTGGGAGGGCGGGGCCTCTGCCTGTGTTTCTTCACCACTGAATCTCCAGTATGCAGCACATATTCATGGAATAAAAGGGGCACTTGTCTGAACTGGTTCCTTATCCCTCAGCATGCTCCCTCCCACCCCAACTTACCCACCTCAGTTGGCACCAGCTGGTAGGAGCCACACATGGGTTTGATGGACTCACAGTATCTCAGCCATTCAAAGGGGCCTTGGCATTTAGATCTACACTGTCCTCGAAGGTAGCCACTAACCACATGTAACTATTTAAGTTTAAATGAAATGAAATGAAAAATTCAATTCCTTAGTCACATCAGCCATATTTGGAGTGCCCGCTGATAGACCCATGTGACTCGTGGCTCCTGTGTTGGACAGCACAGCTATAGAACATTTGCATTGTAGTCAAAAGTCCTTTTGTACAGTGCTGATTTAGACTCTACACAGCACAGGGAACTCCTCTGAACCTACCCCAAAAGAAGGTTCTCTAAGCTTCCCTTGAACACTCCCAGCAATGGGAAGCTCATTACCATTTAAGCCAGCCTATCTCATCCTTTCATAGCTCTGATAACTGTGTCTTTAAAAAAATCTGTGATAGTCTGGCTGATGTGGCTCAGTGGTTGAGCGTTAACCCATGCACCTATAGGTTGCCAGTTCAATTCCCAGTCAGGTCACATGCCCAGGTTGTGGGCCGGATTCCCAGTGTGGGTATGCAAGAAGCGGCCAATCGATGTTCTCTCTCATCGATGTTTCTATCTCTCTCTCCCTCTCACTTCCTCTCTCTCTAAAATCAATAAAGGGAAAAAATAAATAAATCTGATATGCAGATAGATTCTCTTAATCATTTATTCTATTTCAGTAACAGTCATTGATACATCAAAAGGTAGATGAGAGAAAAGCAAACTGTCTTCATTTCTAGCCCTTGCAGTTTTCCCATTTTAGGTACAACTTAGCTCCAGCAGCATCCCTTGGATTCTCCTAAGTGTTTGCTAGTTGGGAAATGAACTTTGAGGAAAAGCATGTTCTACATTTTGTGTATCTTGAAGTGTTATCTCCTGCTGAGAATCAGCTGGGGAGAAGACCCTCTGAGACATCCTTGAGGAGAAGGGCTCAGGAATCTACATTTTAATGAATTTGTAAGAACCACTAGTCTATCTTCTGGAGGAAACACTTTCATTGTTAGAAAATTCTTTCTTCTCATGGGCTTAGAATGCCTTGCCTGTAACTTTTCCCTGTTGGTCCCCTGCCCCCAGTATTAACTTAATTCCTCTTCCCTAGGTCAGCATTTCTGGTCTTGATAGACTTCTGTCCATACAGTACTTTTGCTGTTTCCCCCTTGGAAAGGGCCTTTAAACCTTAGGGTCAGGCAATTTTGCAGATGGGAAAAACCAAGGGACAGATGGAGTCAAAAGGCAGGTGAGGGACAGGCTGGGGATGGGAAGTAACAAGAGTCTCAGCTTCCAAAATGCTAGTTAGCTAACTACCCTCAGCTCTAGCCTGCCCATTGACCCTTTGGGAGCTTTCCTCCCGTGTCCCAGCCATTCTCCCAAGGATGGCAGACTGTTTTCTTTCCCCCAAGGACGGTAAGACTGTTTCCTTTCCCCCAAGGACGGTAAGACTGTTTCCTTTCCCCCAAGGACGGTAAGACTGTTTCCTTTCCCCCAAGGACGGTAAGACTGTTTCTTTTCTCCTAAGGATGATAAGACTGTTTCCTTTCTTCGCTTCCACAGTGACTATGTTTCTTTATCATTTCAAGATGTATTTCTTTCCTGGGGCTGCCATAACAAAGTTCCAACTATTAGGTAATTTAAAACAACTGAAATCTGTCCTCTCAAGTTCTGGAGTCCAGAAATTTGGAATCAAGGTGTGGGCAGTGCCACACTCCTTCTGGAGGCTCTCGGGGGAGCATCTTTTCTTGCCTTCTTCAGCTTCTGGTGGTTGCTGGAAATTCTTGGCCTGTAGCTACATCACTCCAGTCTCTGCCTCCTTAGGCACAGAGCGTTCTCTCTGTGTCTCTCTTCACTTGGTACCCTTTCTCTGTTTCTGTCCAAATCTCCCTCATAAGGATACTAATCACTGAATTTAAAACCAACCCAATATGACCTAATATTAGCTTAATTGTACCTACAAAGACCCTATATTTCCAAATAAAGTCATATTCTGAGGTTCTGGGCAGGCATGAACTTGGGGATAGGGGAAATATTTAACCCAGTACAGAGGCTATAATAAAATTTTCAAATAGGACAAGAGCTTTCAGTGAAAAGTAAACTTCCTTCTTGCCTGCAGTCCCCAGGCTCCTGGGGCATCTCCTGTCTCAATCTCTTGGGTCTCCATCTGTTTAAGGAAGTTTGGGTGGGAACATTATTGCCATTTTCAAGATGAGGACATCGAAACCTAGAGGAACCAAAGGCCACCTGGCAGAGCTGGAGCTCAAACCTAGGTTTCTGGGTGTGTGTCTGGGGTCATCCCCTGCTCAGCACTGCCCCCCATCAAGGCAAAGGAAACTCAAGAGGGTCCTGGTACAACAGAACCAGGCTGGAGACCACCCCCTTATATACACACTTAGCTAATTTGGGGGTCAGCAGGGCAGGGGCTCAGGGGCCCCCTGACTGGAATCTCTCACCCTACAACAGTGCACCTGTGGCGATTCTCAGGCGGCTACCCAGCCCTCATGGACTGCATGAACAAGCTAAAGAACAACAAGGTGTGTTGGTATCCACTTTTCAAAGCTCTTCGCTTACTGGTTCTGGCCCAGCTCTGTCCACCACCCCATGGGACATACTGCAGGGGAAGGGTGTAGTGCTTCCTAGCTGTCATGCCCTCATCACCATACCTGCAGGAGTACCTGGAGTTTCGAAAGGAGCGGAGCCAGATGTTGCTGTCCAGGAGAAATCAGATGCTTCTTGAGTTCAGCTTCTGGAATGAGCCACAGCCCAGAGCAGGTCCCAACATCTATGAGCTGAGGACATACAAGCTCAAGGTGACTTCCTCCCACCAGATCCCTGTCTGCTCCCGCCTTCGGTGCTACGGTACAGCTTGTACAGGTGCCCCAAGGTGGGTGGGCCCTGTGCCTTAGCACCTAGACTGGGGATTCTGGCCTCTCCCTCCCTCTGGGCTCAGAACACAGGTGTGCGCACCTATGTGCACATGCACACCCAGGTGCGAGTCAGGGCCCCTGAATAAGGCCAAGTGACCCCTGGAGCTGGGGAGACTTGACATGTCGTTTCCCATCTTCCCCCAGCTGTGATGCTGGCAATCCTAGGTGAGGCTCATTCAATTCTCTTCTGGTTCTCTTTCAGCCAGGAACCATGATCGAGTGGGGGAACAACTGGTGAGTGGTAGTGCCAGGGGCTTGGGTTGGGGACACCCTGCCCACCTGCCCTGCCCAGTGCCATATGGCAGGGAACCCTGCAACCTCTGCCCCTCATGGATCCTATAGAAGGATCCAACTCAGAGGTGAGCATCTTCTAGAGGATCCCCTGGAAGAACATCCAGCTAGCAGCTGTACTTCCGTCACCCCATTCCCCGACCATCTGAGAGCTGGGGGCCCTGCCTCAGGCCTCTCCCTTGAGCTGTGGCAGCCTGAGGACACCTCAGGGGGCCCTTTGTACCAGCTCTGGCCTCTCCCCCCACTCTTCTGCCCTCGCAGGGCTCGGGCCATCAAGTACCGACAAGAGAACCAGGAGGCAGTAGGCGGCTTCTTCTCACAGATAGGAGAGCTCTACGTTGTGCACCATCTCTGGGGTAGGCTGGGGAGCCTTCTAGTCCCCTTTCTTACATCGTTGTTATCCATGTAGACAATGCAAATACATTAGCACCCTGGGGCACTTTAGTTCTAACAGAGGGAGACACCACCTCAGACTTAAACTAATAAAGGTAAATTCAGGTTGTTATGAATAAGAGCGACAGGGAGAAATGAAGAAGAAAAGCATAGGAACCTACATTGACTAGAATAGACAAAGAAGGCCTCTGCGAGCAGGTAAAAATGTAAGCCCAGCCAAAGGATGAAAAGGAGCCAGCCGTGAATGGTGAGGGGAGAAGGGCATTCCAAGTAGAGGGAACAATGTGTGCAAAGGCCACGAGCTCAGGAAAGACCTTCAGGATTTTGAGGGGTGCAAAGGAGGCTGGTGTGGAGAGAGTGGGGAAGAGTGTGGAGATCAGGCTGGGCCTTGCAGCCATGGGGACAAGTTGGGATTTATCCTAGATGCAGCCAGAGGCTACTGTAGCATTATAAGCAGCATGACATGGCCTGATGTGTGTTCTAATATGATTCCTTTGGCTGCTATGTGCTATGCCAACAGCACTTTATAGGGGAACAAGAGAGGAAGTGGGGTACCAGGAGACAGTTACACTAGTTCAGGCAGGAGAGGTGGTGGCCTGGCCAAAGTGTGGCAGTGAGGATGCTGACAAGTTCAGACTAATTAGTCTGGAAGTGGAACCAGTATGACTGTGGATGAACTGTCTATGTGGAGCAAGAGGAGGACTCCAGGGTTCCCAGACTCATGCTTGAGCAGCTGTGTGTCACTGAGACCCTAGGAGGAGCAGGTTGGCCAGTTCAGGAGTTTAATTTTGGTTCTCGAAAGTGTTACACTTGAGATGCTGATACATCCAAGTGGAGATTAAGTGGGCACTGGCTAAACGAGTCTGGAGGCTGAGAGAATGTACTGATTGGATGAGACTGTCAAAGTAGACAGTGTTTACGGATAGTCTGAGGCATCGGGGAGGAAGACAGCAGGGCAGGGTGTGGGGCAGTGAGAGGAGAGCCCTGTGCTGGGTACAGGGTCAGATTCTCAGTACCCAATGAATGAGGCTATGCCTTTCCCACAGCCTACAAAGACCTGCAGTCTCGGGAAGAGACTAGAAATGCTGCTTGGAGAAAGAGGGGTTGGGATGAAAATGTCTACTACACAGGTGAGTACCTCCTCTTTTGGGAGGGGTCAGTGGGGCTCTTGGAGGTCATCTGCTAGGAGCTCTATCTGAGGATGGAATCTAGCCTCACTTGATTACTTCCAGTGATGGGGAACTTGCTTTTAAGACAATGAGTTATTGGGTTTCTATCCTGGTGGCACATTCCACATGATCCAGGCAGTCCTAAGTGAGTGATCTAGGGGATGATATAACAACTAGGAGGTCCCTGCTTCAGATACGTGGAGTAGTTCAGTCTGCCCTGTGATCTCAGGCATGGTTCTCCACCTCACTGAGGCTTTTTCCTCATCTATAAAATGGGGATGGTGATAGTACCTGGAGGGAGGATTCCAGGAGCTAATTTATGAAAAGTGCTTCACCCAGATTCTGGCACAGAGAAAGCATGCAGCAAATACTTTCCAACAAGTTGTTTGTCACTTTTCTGGGCCTCCTAGAACCACCTGGATTCAGTAGCTGTTGACTGAGCCCTCGCTGTATACTAGGGACTGTGGTGGTGGCTGGGGTTCCAGAATGAAGAGGAGCCTGTCCCTGCCCTTGAGGAGCTTACAATTGGGCTTCCACACTTAAACCAACTAGTATGGGGAGAATACAACTCCTGAAGGTGTTAACAGGAGCCTCCTTTTTCAAAGTGTGGTCCCAAATGACAGTAGTGTCAGCATCCCCTGGAACCTTTAGAAATGCTGAATCTCAACCCCTCTCCCACTCACTGAATCAGAATCTGTGCTTTAACAAGAATTGTAGGTAATTTGTATGCACAGCAATGTTCCAATAGCTCTGAGTGGGATGGAGTCTGACCTCCTTGGTGACTTTGGGTGACAAATGGGCTGCAGCCTCCTCATTTGTAAAATGAGACAGTTGAACTAACTCTGTTTTTCAACCCGAGGATATAATTTTCCATTGACTTTTTTTTTTCTTTCCCCCAAGTGGAAGGGAGGGAGGGGAAGAGAAACATTGCTGTAAGAGACACATTGATTCTCAGTCCGTGGGCCGATGCTCTAACCTTTGAGCCAAACCTGCCAGGGCCCCCCTCAGAGCTTTTGTCCTACCAGTAGACAACTGCTACAATTATTTTCTTGGTATTTTTCTTTACATCTCCCTACTTTGTTCTTTACATAGCATTGTCCTAAGCAATAGTATCTGTGAAATTACTTTTTACTATGATAGCTTTTTATTGTTGTTTTATTTTCACAAACTCAGGAAAATAATATATATAATTATGAAAAAAATTTAAATGTTACATTTCATCACCGCCTAAGTCCCCTCTTCTTCCATAGTTTAGTTTGGAAGACCTGTTGCTCTCCAAGGGCCATTCCAGAAGGGCAGTGGGGCATTTCCTGTCTCAGTATCCCACGCATTCTCCCTCTTCAAAAGCTAGTTTCCAGGTTAGCTCGCCTCATTCACCTCTGTGACCCCTTCCTCTCTCTGCAGTCCCCCTGGTGCGACACATGGAGTCTCGGATCATGATCCCTTTGAAGATCTCACCTCTCCAGTGATGCCGCTGCTGCCTCCACCTCACTCCCCTTCTCCCTCAGGGCAGCCACGGACAGTGGAGCTCCCAGTCCTGCTGTCTTGGTTTTTTCTCAGATTTGGGAGGACTCTTGGGGCTAGAGCTCCGCTCAGACAATGGGGAGCTGAAGGATGATAGAGTTCTGAGGACTTACAGCTCTGCCTGCCCTGCCCATCCCTTCCCCTGTGCTGGAAGCAGTTTTTAATTTCTCTGAAGAACAACCACCTTTTATGTCTTCTCATATTTCCCCCTAAAATTCCTCATCTCAAGGCCACCAGTCCCCAGTTATCACCATGGAAAACCTCAGTTTAGCATTAGTTGCCCAAAAGGTAGTGTGTCTAGTGGTTAGAGGTGGGGTGGGAAGGGGAGAGGTCAAACCAGTCCAGGCTCTCAGCAATTCACTGGTCTTCACTAAGCCATCCACTCGCTGTACCAAGTTCTTCCTGCTAGGGAAAGGCCTAGAACCACCTCAGGAAGTAAAGGAAAACCCTCAAGTTAGCAAAGTCAGCAGGAGATCCACCTAATTAACCCAGAAAGGCTAGGAAAAGGGATCTGGGGTTAGGAAGCAGAATGGAACAGGAAGAACAACCCAGAGCCAGCAACCCAGAAGGTAGAACTTAGAATTCAGAACTTGAGTTTGAACTGCAGGACTTGAAATACAGAATGGGGAAGATAGAATAGAGGTGACAGAAGACCACTTGGGAGGAGTTCCTAATGCAAGATAGTTGGAAAGAGACTCATCTGTTTACTTCTACATAATGAGGTTGAACATATGAATATGTAGTTCCAGCCCTTCTGCGCAGGGAATCCTGCCCTCCCTTTTCCTTTCTGTAGGCAAAGATATGGGCCAAGGCCTGTATTTCCCATACTCTGCATCCCTTTTCTCCCTCTTCGCATTTGGTCAACCCAACCCTCATTCTACTGGGCTCCTGGGTGTGTGGAGTGGGTTAGTGACTTTGGGGGCCTCCTCAATGACCCCTCCACCCCATACTTCATGAACCTCTGGGTAGATTGATTCTGCCTCCCTTTCAGGAAAACTTGTGCTGGAATTGCTGATGGAACCAATTAAATGTTTACTATAAACCATGGTGCCTTTTTTTCATCTTCAGGGAACTTTGGTATGTGCCCAAGGCAGGGCCAGCTTCCCAGTCCAAACTACTGATTTGTCTCCCTGTATGGTATTGTGCTCCTTGAGTTATTGTCAGGGAGGGCCTCCCCCATAGCAGAAGGAACTGCCTGTATAACCAGGGATTCAGGACATCATTGTTTCTACCTCCAGATAAGGATTTATACCAAAAGCCCTGAGCCCTTCCTGTATAATTCCTACCAGAGTTATAAAACATTTGAAGCTGTCAAATGCTGCATTAGAATTGTGACACCCCTAGGCAAATAGGGTCCAAGATGGGGAATTACTGATGCACCTATGAGTAAAACACATGGAAGATTGGTTTAATGCCCTTCCTTACTTGCTACCTACCCCCCCTTCCAGTGTGGGATGTTAGGATGAATATGACGGTGGTTAAGAATCCAGGTTATGGAGGCAAGTCCACAGGGGTCCAAATCTTGACATTACCACATCTACAAGTTTTGTTTTTTTTAATGTATTGATATCAGGGAGAGAGAAACATCGATTTGTTGCTTCATATATTTATGCATCCATTGGTTGGTTCTTGAATGTACCCTAAACAAGATGGATCCCATAACGTTGGCTATCCCAAGCTCTAAACAACTGAATAACCCGGCCAGGGCTTGACACTACCACCAGTGGTTCTCAACCTTCCTAATGCTGTGACCCTTTAACACAGTTCCTCATGTGGCGACCGCCAACCATAAAATTATTTTCATTGCTACTTCATAACCGTAATTTTGCTACTGTTATGTCTTAGGCGACCCCTGTGAAAGGGTCACTGGATTCCCCAAAGGGGTCACGACCCACACGTTGAGAACCCCACTCTTGTATTATCTTGGGCATAAGACCCACTCATTCAACAAATGCTTGGCAGAGAGCCTATTAGTTGCTAGACTTAAGACGCTGGGGAAAGAGTAAAGAAAACACTTTAAAAGTCTTTGTCCTCGCAGCTTCAGTTTCCTGCTTTCAGAGGGCGGCGTGAGGGTGATGACAAGCCAGTTGCCACGGCGCCAGACTACCACGTCACCCAGCCGCTGCCTGCTTGGGCCGAAGGCGGCCGTCGCAGGCTTTTGCGCTTCGCTTCCGGCCTCCGCGCCTCGCTTCCGGCTGGTCGCTCCTTCCTTCTGTTTCTCTATGGTGCGCGGGCTACAGTCTCCGGGCTGCCTGAGTTGGGTCGCTCGCCGGCACAGGTCCGGGGCACCGTGCGGTGAGTAGGAGATCGGGGTCGCAGAAGGGGGGCAGGGCGAGGCCGGGTGCTCTGGGACTGAGGTGCCGACCGGCCGCAGGGCATCCTCGGGCCGGAGTCTCCTCCTCACTCCCCGGGGTTCCCGGCCGCTGCGCGCTGTTTCCTCGTGTGGAAAATGTTGACTGCGGCGTCGGTGTTAACAGCTCAGATTGTTGTGCGCTTCTGTGTGCCAGACATGGTTTATTGTGTTAGCCAAGGCATGGTTTCTCACGTTTAAGCCTTTCAGGTCTTACCGTTGTGGCTCTTACCTTTGTGAGTTTGGCCGAATCAACTTACTATGTAGGACTTTTTACTAAAGGTTTTTAATTGAGTCACTTTTTAAAAAATACGTTTTTATTGATTTTTTAGAGAGAGAGAGAAAGAGAAACACAGATATGAGAGAGAAACACAGGTGGGTCGCCTCTCTTAGACACCCCTTGTGGAATGGAACCACAGCCTAGGTACGCGCCCGGACCCGGATGGAACCGCAGCCCGTTCGTGCGCGTGAGGTCGGCCGCTCCAACCAGCTGAGACGCCCGGACAGGGCTTAATTGAGTCACTTTTAAAGTTTAAATTTATTTTAAAAGAAAAAAGTTAAGTGTATCATAAACTTCTTTTAGTTGTCATATGCAGAAGGTAATGATAAAAAATAATATATTCAAAAGGAAAAGAGATCATTGTTAATCATTCTGGCTAGATCTCCTTGTCTAAGGCTCTGAGATAGAGACCTTTTGTTAACAAAGGAACATTGGTGTTCATAGCTGTTAAACTAGGGAAATGAGACTCCCCTTGAAGCAATCAGAAGTTTCTAAGAATTGAAAAGAGAATAACTTTCTCCTCAGGTGTTCAACGTCATTTAAGATCACGCATGTACCATCTAAAGCCCCACTCCCAGATCATCTTCATCACCTTCCCCAGTGGAGGACATTCCTATGTTAATGTCCACAACAACCCCTGAGGTAGGGACTTTTACTCTTAATTTGATCTGTGAGGAAACAGGCCCAGAGGAAAGTGCAGTGACTTGTCGGAGGACTCAGCCTTAACATAGTAGAGTGGAGACTTCAACTTAGGGCTTCTCTGACTCTACTATGAGCTATTGGCTCTCTCAGTAATTGTTGGTGACAGATTTGTTGGGGTAAGGGGAATAGTGCTGCACACCTCAGGGGACTGTGGTGACAATCAGGAGAGTTCGCAGAGGGAGGATGCTTTGTGACCTAAAAGCACCATGAAACGTGGGCTCTGTTTTTTTAAACTTTAGAGTTAACCAGGGAGTTGGTGGCATCCCCAGATGAGATGGTGGCAAGACTAGGAGGCACAATGATGTAGTTGTTAAGAGCACTTATGTGGCATCAGAGGAACCCAAGCTTTAGCATACAAGCTATGTAAGCTTGGGCAAGTCATTCACCTTTCTGATCCTCGGTGTTCGCATCTATAAAATGGTACTTGTTCTTATCTGAAAAGTGTATGTAAAGATCAAATGAGAACATACCCATAAAGTGCTAGATCAAGGTCTAGCACACAGGGATCAATCAGTAGTATTAGATATGTGCTTATATGCCAGGCTGAGGAGTTGGATCAGAGGTGTGGTTGGTGGTACCTCTAAAGGGGGTAGAAGTGAAGAAGATGAGTTTATTTTGGACGGGCTGAGAGATGATTCTCCGCACCCCTCTTATACAGAGGATTTAACTTCGGCTTTGGACGATTGTCCTTTTTTTTTTTTTTTATCCTCACCCGAGGATATTTTTCCATTTTTTGTACAGATAGAGTGGGAGGGAGAGAGAGGAAGGGAGAGAGAGAGAAACATCGACGTGAAGGGACACATCGAGTGGCTGCCACCCGCACGACCAACCAGGGCCGGGGACAAACTGCAACCGAAGTACGCGCCCTTAGCGGAAACCGAACCCGGGTCTCTCCGGACCGCAGGCTGACGCTCTAACCGCTGAGCCAAACTGGCCAGGGCCGATTGTCCTTTTTTTAATTCACACCTGAGGATATGTTTAGAAAGAGAGAGAAATGATCGTATTGGTTGCCTACCATGACCAGGGATCAAGCCCACAACCTAGGTAATGTACCTTGACTGGAAATCAAAACTGCAGCCTTTTGGTGTATGAGATGATGCTCCAACCAACTGAGCAATCCAGCCAGGGCTGAAGGGTTGAGTCTTTTCTTGAGTTACTGAGGGTATAAATGACCAGAACTGCTAGTTAGACTTCAGTATTATAACTCCAGGAAAATCTCAAAAGCCTTCTCTTCTTAACAGGTTTCTACTATTTCTTCCTGACCTCACCAAACAACCATGTCATCAGAATCGAGCAAAAAACGGAAACCCAAAGTGATTCGAAGTGATGGAGCTCCAGCTGAAGGGAAGCGTAATCGTTCTGACACTGAGCAGGTGAGATTAGCCAGGGCTGCCATGCTGCTGAGAAATTACAGCTTGTGGCCACGCACCTGGCTGTGGGTTTGTAGCAGCTGAAGGTCACAGGAACAACCTCCCAGGTGGCCTCCATTTAACAAGGTTCCCAGAATTTACTTTGCTCTACAAAGCCTGAGTATTCACATCAATTGTAGCTGCAGCATCGCAAGAACCAACAAGCCTATATTAGATATGATTAATGACTGAACAGAGAATGCATTCAAGTTTGGTGTGTGTTTCCAGTTTTCCTGATGATCAGAAGGAGGCAATCCATCTGCAGCACTCTACTTGAACTTTGGAGATGTGCCATCTCTGGTCTGCTACTGAGACAGTACCAGAGTCACAAGCCTGCAAAACCTCTTCTGTGGTCTGAGAACTCATGTGGTCAGCAGGTTCTCCTTTTGCTGTTTCTCTGTTCTTGAATCTGTCAAGCTGATTTATTACTTAACTGTTTCGATTATTCGGTTGGTTATGTTTTTTGTTTGTTTTTAAAATTAGAATAGAGAAACATACCAGCTTAAATTAAAAAAAAAAAAGGATACTTTCCTCAGACTTAGGAAATCAAGTTTAATGAAGAGCCTTATCCTTTTGGGGGCATTGATTCTCACTTTCTTTTGTAATTGAATTATAATTGACATACAATATGTTCGTTTAAGGTATACAACAAATTCCCTGGCTGGTTTGGCTCAGCGGTTGGCCCACGGACCAGAGAGTCCCGGGTTCGGTTTCCGCTAAGGGCACGTACCTCGGTTGCAGTGTGTCCCCAGCCCCGGTTGGCGTCATGTGGGTGGCAACCACTTAATGTCTCGCTCTCACGTCGATGTTTCTCTCTCTCTTCCTCCCTCTCTCCCTCCCACTCTATCTGAAGATAAATGCAAAGATGTCCTCGGGTGAGGATAAAAAAAAAAATGGTATACAACAAAATGATTTGATATTTGATGTGAAATTGTCACCATAGTAAATCTAGTTAACATCTGTCACCATATATAGTTACAAAAATTTTTTTTCTTGTAATGAGAATTTTTAAGATCTGTCCTCTTAGTAGCTTTCAAATATGCAATACAGTGTAATTAACTCTCTGTTAAAGGGATGTGTTCTGTTTACTCCAAAGGCTAGGAAACCAATTATGGTATTTTAGTCTTTGCTAAAACTTGATTTGACCATCTGAACATCCATCTATAGGAATTTGGTTAAATTAATTCTGGTTTATATATTAGACTGTCTATCATAAAACCATTTTGATGGAGATCTGTATTTATTGGGATGGAAAATTGCACTAAACAGCTTGGA